TGCTCCCATTTCTGGAGCACTGTCCTCCAGAAGCTTGCTGGATGGCTGCTGGTCTTTGCAGAGGACTCAGCCTGTTCCTTAAGGTGTGAGCGGCCCTGGGCTGGCGCCAGGTTTGATCATCCTTCGTGGAAAAGAGACGGGTTGAAAATCCTGAAGAGGAAAGTGGAAGGAATGAATGGAGAATATTGTGTGTTCTTGTGCCGGGCTAGATCAGTTGCATTAAATTCAGAGCCTTTCTGAGTACAATTAATAGTCATTTTATTTAGGTCACCCTGGTTTTGTTGCTTTAAATATATGCCTCCATTAAAGTGGAAGAAAATCAAATACATTTATCTCTGTGGAGCCTTTTGTGAACTGGTTGGGCATATTTTAAATAACCCTGGGAACTGTTAGGATTATTAAAGCCTTTGGCTCCTCCAGGTTTTTTTCTTTCCTCCTATTCTCCCCTATTCCTCCTTCCAGGCAGTGAGTAATGAAGTGGTATAGCCCTTCCTTTTCTCAGAGCCCCAAGTGGATTGAAAAAAAAAACCCAAAAGTTAAATAAACTAAAGCCCATTAGTTAGGCTTTATATAAGAAACTGGGTCTAAATTGGATGTATATATGGGGTATGCTGGGACAGAGGAGAAGTCTGTTGGGCTTAAGTGTCCGTTTGTAACTGGTATTATCTGGCAAGTCTTTTTTTCTTCTTTTTTTTATTTACCTTAAGTGCTAAGACTGTTCATTTTGTAATACACTCTCATTTGATGCCCAGAATTAGTTCAGATTAATCAGCTCCTTTAAGCCTCCATATTGAGCCATACTACATCTGAAAAGAGGCAAAAAATTGGGGATTGCCAGCTGCTTTCTGCATGTGCTGGGTGGGAGGTGGCTCTCTGCTTGGTGGCTCAGCATCTCACACCTGTGCTGGGGAAATTCAGCTCTTTGCTGGTGTGTTGTTTTTCGCCGTGCCCAGAGAACATGCTCACAGGAGGCCACTTTCGTGGCTGGTAGCAGGGTTCAGCTGGCAGTGTGTGGTGGGGGATCAGCCAAGCCTTGCAGGGGGCAATTGCACTTCCAGTCCTGTCTCTAACCCTGGAGAAAACTTCCTTCTCTTTTCTAAGCAAGGTGCTAGTTGCATGTTCTGAGTTGAGACCTGGAAAACTTGCAGTTCAAGCATCTTTAAAATCCTGGGCGAGCAAGGGAGCCTCAGGTTGGAGGAGGGGGTTAACTTTTGGACAGTCACAGCTCCTGAATGTACTTGAGTTTCGTCTGTGGGTTGTTTTTTGGTTGGTTTTTTTTTCTTCCCTTCCCCTGAAATAGGGATCAATTTGCTTACTACAGGGTTTACTGCCGGTTACCTTGACTGTGTCCCTTATTTCTCCTTGATGAAAACTTGAACAAGCCGCTTGTGTTTGATTCACAGAGAACCGTGAGAAACGGGCTGTGTGTGTGAGGCAGTGTGGTTTTCTCATTCTATTCAGCCCTTTGTGTATTCAAATTCTTCTAGTTTCAGTTCTTGCTGTTCTGCCAGATTTCCATACCATTGATGGGTTTTCTGAATTAATAAGTTTCTTTCTCCCCCTCCCTCCCATACCCTCGCCACCTTTTTGCAACTGGTGAAAAGTTTTTCTAAGCGCGCTGCCCTCTCCATATTGATTTTCTTCTCTTGCTTGTCTAACCAGCTCTTAGATGTTTTATTTTGCAAAGCGTTAATAGAATTTTCCTTTTGCCATTGCACTTTATCTATTCAGGAGGTTTCAAGAAGTCTCATTGTGTCACCAGACTATGGAGGAAAGAGGCTATTCTTCTGTTACAATGGCTGCCCTAAAAAATAACGCAGGGTGGGGTAAACTCAGAAAGGGCAGAGACGGAGATAAAATGTTCTGACCTTAGGAAACAGAAAAGATAACCAATTAGACATTGTTGAAAGGGCACCAGCTGGCTTGAAGAACACCCCACTGATTATTTTTTCTTAGAGGCATGCTTGGTCCACGTCTGAAGCTGCAGAGCCGCTTCCCCCCCTTGCAGGTTTTCAGATTTGAACTGGCAGGGCCGACCCTCTCGTAGGTAGCTGCGCGCCCGGTTCTGATCCCAGAAATAGGTACCACTGCTCGGAGGGATGGGGCACCCACCTCCAGGGTACCTGCGCTCCTCAGGGTCCCAGCCAGCATGATGGAAAGCTCCTGGATTAGCCCATGCAGGCTGCGTTTGTTACTGCTAATAAGGATTTATTTGCATAAAAAAGATCTCTGCCAAGATCATCATTCCAGCAAAGCAGGGCCTTAGTACACATGGCACAAAATGTTGTTTGCCCAGAGGACGTGTATCTGGTGGGCGAGACAACGTGTCACGTTGTACAGGTGGGAGAGGCGATCAGAACGGCAGATCCCCCGTAGGACCACGAACCGGACCCAGAGCCCCTCGCCCCCTCCAGTGCCTGGTCCCGTGCCAGGACCTGTCCCTCCTCTGGAGGAGCGGGACGAGGCTGTACGAGAGGTTCAAACCCACAGTGCTGCTGCCGCCGGCCACAGCTGAGCCCACGGGAGGTTTTTGTACCCCACAGCTCAAGCTTCAGCCTGCTGGGAGACTTTGGGCTGAGACATGGCCATGCTAAAGTGAGGTTAGAGTTGCGTCATGTCTCTTCTCCCCCTAACAGCAATACAAGCAGCCTTTTTAAAGTCCCCAGTAATGTCCTTGCAGGAGGAGGTGTCATTTTGAAATGACGGCCCTTTCAGTGCGGATCCAGCCGGGAGAGCCTGAGGACCTCCCTGCGCTGGTGGGACCTGTGCTGCAGCGCGTCCAAGACCTCTGGGCTCTGGTATGGGATTTGGGGCAGAAAGGTTACACTGGAAAAGTTGCATGTTAAAACTTCTGCAACGGCGATTAGCACGAGGACAAAAGGGTGGTCAGCATGCTCGCGTGGACCCAGGAGGAGGAAGCAGCGATGTTCTAGGAAACAGCATTAGGTGCGACATGTAATTTTTGGTTCCGGTGAGGCCAAGACCTGTGAGAATGAAAAATAAAGATTGCTGTGTAAACGTAACCCCAGAGCAGAGATAAGCGGTGGTGGCAGGGTGAACGGGAGCTCTGTCCTTATCTGCCTTCTGATATTACTCATACTTGTGAATTTTCTTCCTTGGAGTGAAGAAAGACAGCAGGACAAATGGCTCTGTACTTAATGTGGTTTGGATTTTTCAGTACATCAGCATCTTTAGGTCTAATTCAAGATGGGTATCAAGGAGGCATGCTGTTCTCCTCCTCCTCAGGCCATTGCTAACATTTTGCAAACCAGTTTGGCTGAAAAAGCTAAGAACAAGTTAACCAGAGACAGGTTTTTAGATGAGTTTAGGCATAGTGTAAGGTTTTGCTGCACTGTATTTTTTTTACTATATCCTGGAACATATTTTAGTCTCATAGTTAAGAGAGGTTCAAGCTGTGTTTTTACCACCTTCCCAAAATACGTCTCTGCTCAGCCAAGACTGAGATTGTAATTCTGCACAGAAGTAGGCTGGATGTGTGTTCCCCTACATAAGAGGACTACAGTCAAACTGTATTCCCTGAACCATGAATTTTATCCAGGTGGGAGCTTTCAAATCCTGCTGTAATTCCAGGATCACGTTGAGGCAACAAAAGCTGGCACAGCTACCGCAAGCCGTCCCACCTTCCCATAAGGTGCTGCTTCTCTGCCCTCTGCAGCAGCCTGTCCCTTGCATCAGCACAAGTGTTGGTTTAGCCGTGCCGGGAAACTGATCTGGCTTAAAACTAACCTGGAAGAGAAAGTGTGGTTCATTTTAACCTGGAGCGGTTCCCTGGCTTGATCTGCTGCGCAGACTTGGTGGCAGAAAGGAAGAGGTCAGCACAGAAGCAGGCATGGGCAGTTGGGGTGAAGGTAGACCCTTTGGTGGCACTGTGTAAGGTGAAGAGAGCATTGTAATTCACTTTTCCTAGAATAAATTATTTATAGAAAAGACAGAATATAAGAACATGGAAGTATCATAAAAATTACTGGGGAAAAAAACTTTAAAAAACCCCACCAAACAAACAAAAAAAACCCAGCCCAAAACCCACCCCCACAGACAACTAGTAGAGTCCTTTAAAGAATAAAAGCTTTTCTTTAAAGATCTTCTCCCTTCCCCCAACGTCTTCTGCAATTTAGCGGTGATACAGGTTTTCATCAGCCCCTAGTTTACAACAGGGAATAGCAAGTCTGTAATTTCTTTCCAGAAAGATTGCCCAGGACACCGACCTGCCCCAGCTCTTGCAGCCTCTGAGCAACAGTTTAAAATGTGATAATGCTGGAAAATAAACCCCAGCACAACATCCTTCCAAAATAAGTGTAAAATTTTAGGTGTGGCTGCACAGATTAAATGGAGGTGGAATAAATCATGCAAATAGTAATGAAAGTTGAAAGCAATTTGGTTGCACTTCAATACGTTTCATCAGTCATCTCTCTTCTGAAGTGGAAATGCCAAGCCTGATGCGAATTAAACTTTCTCTCTCCTCCCTCTCCCCTCTTTCCTCTAGATTTTCAAAAGGCCTTTTGAAAACCTTTCTTGGCTGACCAGATTTTACCCTGCTCCTACTTCTTGTAACCTCCTCATTCTCAGCCAAGACAGTGACTCTAATTTGGAAAAGTCATGGGCTTGATTTGCATCCACAATTCCTCTCTTGGCCCTTCCTTATCTCCCTACAAAAGGGAAAAAGACTGAGATGAGGCACAGCCAGGGACCGACGAGAGGTGGAAGAGCTCCTTAGCTATTTGGCTTTTTAGTGCAACAAAACTTCTAATGTTCCCTTTTCCGCTTTAGGATCAAATGTCAGCTAGGATGGGAGTTGAAAGCAGCAGATTTACAAAAGGAAGAGCTGACTCTGAGCAAAAGCAAGGAGATCTGATGCATCATTTGTACCCGAGCTGAGGCTGCTCCTGCCTTTGTCTCCCCTTCCCAGTTTGTCTCTTGTGTCTTTGCGAACCGTGCAGCCAGTGTGTTAAAGCGTGCATCTCCCCGCTTCTGTCTTGCAGGTAGAGGACGCCATGCTTATGTTTGACAAGACGACCAACAGGCATAGAGGTAAGAGAGAACGGGAGCTCAGACATCACGTTTTGTGACAGCTTCTGCATGGTGAGCACAGCCAAAAATCAGCGTCAGCACGTTGACCCAGTGGCTAAATCCAGTGGTGCTAAATCAGCAGAGCCATTTGTGTTTGAGACGGCTCCCTCTGTCCTGCAGGTGTTGCAGAGGAAGGGCTGTTTGGCATGTAATGCTACATGTCACGTGGATTTTCTTATTAGAGATGACTTTTCTGGTCAGTCTAATGACTTATCTTTGGGAGGACCGTTCTCAGGCTCTGCAGCGTCCCTGGAGATAGTCAAGCCCAGGGAGCTGGGTGTGGGGAGGCTGCAGGGAAGCAGAGGTTTTGTACCAAGGTGGCTAGCATTAAATTAAGCTGGGCATAAGGCCAGTTAAGCTGAGACACCAGGAAATTAAGATGCTAAACCCCTCCACTGAGGTTTCAAGCGTTCTGGAGTTCTGAAGCTGAGGACTCCAATGATGGTAGCTCAGAATAAGCAGGATCTCCAGAAGAGGAATTTCCCTCCACATATTTTACAAGAGAGACAAGGTTTCATCACTGCTTGTACAGTTCTGTGAAAATGAGCTGAGGATTATTTTCAGTGTTATGGCCGTTCCTTTCAGTGGAAATAAATGATGCTCCTCTGTCTCTCAGCGAGCAGTTCATGTTATCGCTGCAGCAGAGACGCCGAGCTCTAGGCAGAGAGCGGCCTGGCAGCCGCTCCGTTCAGCTGGGAGGGAGCAAACGTACCTGGGCTCTCACAGTGGTACCCGAAACTGCACTGGGGACAGGCTCCGAGACCCTTTTCCCTTCTCTCCAAATGAGATTGATTTTATGCCACCGGTCTCCCTGCTTTAACACGGTGTGTGCTTGGAGGCAGTGCAGGCAGCCAGCGCAGCTTGTGGCTTCTGCCCCCGTGCGACAGCGTGGACGTGTAGCCCCGAGGTTTGTCGTTTGCCCTCCGCACTACAGCCTTTTTGGGGGGGCTCTCTTGATTGATACGGTTATTGTCTCAGCCACAAATGTGTCAGCTACTTGGGGCGGCGTATGTAGCCTGTTTGTTTAGGGAGGCTGCGCCCGGCCAGGCAGGGATGGGAGCCCTGGGAACAGGAGAGGGGAGCAGCCCAGAGTGCCCGGCCACTGCCACCTCATCTTCATCTCTGTAACAGGGTCAGAAGACCGAACCTCCCAGCTCTGAATTATTCACTGCTCTGATATTTGCCTTAACAAGCAACTTAGCGCATGTGGATGGCTGGGTGAGTCAGGCAAACCCCCAGGATAGCGTTCCCTCCCAGGCACTGATCCCTCTCTGAAGTCAGGGATTGTAGTACCCTGGAAAATTCAGCAGCAGTGAGCAAAAGACTTGCTTGGAACGATAGGCTCTTCAGAGCCGGAGTAGGCATGTGAACAGCCAGTGCCCATCAGTTTTGTAACAGGAACCAAGCATTCAAAACTCTTATATAGTTTGGAAAGTTCAACCCCTGACAACTTCCTTTTATATCCAGGGAGTTTTCCACCCTTCTCTTTGCAACCACCCTTAAACGGGCCATAAATACCCTTCTCCATTCAGGATCTTGGCACGTTGTTTGTTGCATTTCAGAGCTGTGTTACGTGTTGCTTTTGTGCTGGGCACAAGGGCCCCACGTCCCCACTCTGAAGTGGTCTGCTGGCAGCTGAGCTCAAGGAGTACTGGGGGGCTCTGGTCCCAGCAAGGCACATACTCAGCAGATTTGGCCCTTGTGAATGCGTTTCAGCAAGTCTCCTGCCTGCTTCTGTTTGTATTCCTTGTTTTCTTCTCTTAAACTCTTTCTTAACCTGGCAAGTTCACACAGTGTGCATCGGATAGGCTGGCAACGCATCCTAGCGATCATCTCCATGCCCTATCCTTTTGAGGCTTTTGCAGCCCAATTTGCAAGTCCCTGACCCGCGGTTTTGTGTCTCCGCCTCGCAGAGCAGGTCTCTGCCGTCCCTCTCCAAGGGCGCAGGAGGCTGGAGGCATGGGGGACTCCACACGGACAGCTTGTCCTGGGGGACATCAGAATGTCCTGCAGCCCATCGGCATGGGTGACCCCAGCAGCTGCCGCGTCCCCAGATAAGGGCTCTGCTCCAGAGACAGGGGGAAAAGGTCTCCGTTTGCTGAAATGTCCCAAATCCTGGAGTTTTGATCCCACTGAAGCTCTTGGCTGTGCCTGCAGTGAGCTCTGTTCCTGCCCACCAAACTCCCTGGTGGTCTCTTCAACAGCTTGTGCCTGCCTTGAACTGGGCTCCACTGCCAGGGTAGGGAGGAGACTCTGCAGGGACAAAAAAAATAGAGCGATGGTGTGTTAGTCCTTCCCTTGCTTCCTGCAAGCAAGACGCTCATCTCTTCCCCATGTACCTCAAGGTGATCCCTGCTTTATCCCCGCCGGTGGCACTGTGCTGCTGTAAGCACTTTCCAAGGTGTGAGGGCACTGGGAAGCGTTGGTGTTCGTGCTCTGCTACTGCTGAGCTCTGCTCTAACAGCTCCGGTTCAGGTTTTCTGTGCTCTTAGGGGAAGCTGGAATAGTGTGCTGGAGAGCCCTGCTCTCAGTTGTGAACCTGAGCGATAAGCCCCAGAGGATGGATTCCTCTTTAAAAAGTATCTTTCCTCTGTCTTATCTGGAGAAAAGGTCTGTAACTGCTGAGGTTGAGGGCTGCAGATTGAAGGGGCACCTTAGCGGCCATGAAACCTGTTGGTTTTTTCCACAAAGCACTTTTTCTCCACGACGTGTGTTGGAAGACGAGAGGCAACAGGTCTTAGTTTTTTACCCCAGGAATTCTGTGAATTTATTTCACTGGTTAATATTTTTTTTACAGCCTGTTTTTTTCTACATGCAAGCTGTAAAATTTCTCTTTGCGTTAGCATCCTTGTGAAAGCTCCTAGATGAGATGTAAGGGGGGAGGAACTAAGAGTCCAAAAGGACCAAAAGCAGACTGGCAATGCCATTGGGTGAGGGTGATGTTACCCACACCTCCTGTACGCTCCACTGGCATCAGGCTCCGGACCCAGGTCTGTCCTCGGTTACTTGTGCCACCCAGGGGACAGGGTGGGCTGGAGCTCCCCCTCCCCGCTTCTGGCAAATACAGGAGTTCTCTGGCACTCAGGAGGGTCAGCTCTGTTTGCGAGGCTGTTTCCCAGGGAACAGGTTTACCCTTTTGCTGGGTGAAGGACAATGCTGCTTATTTGCCAGGATTAGCCAAAATTGCTGCGAGCGGGTGAGGTGCGGCCGGTGCCGAGGGGCTCTGCTGCTGCGGCTGGAGCAGCTGCCAGGGAGGCATGAAAGTCTGAGCTCTGGGTCTTTACCTCTGCCAGGTACAGGTGGAAAGAAGAAACAAGTGTAAGAGGCAGAGTAAAGAGTCATCTTCATCTTCACCCTTGAATTTAACCAGTCTTTTCTGACATTTTTTCCTTCTCTGTACAGGTAGCTACCGCTAATCAGACTAATAAACTGGCTAGTGGGCTGTTGTGATGAAGAGAGTTCTGCTGCATCGATTGTTCATAAAATCACCCCAGATTTTACAAATTGTGACATTCTGATTGTGTTGGAAACATGTTTAAAATGCAGTAGCATGCAGCAACAGTGTTAATGGCAATTCTTAAAACCACTTGCGGGTTGCAATCTGTATCTTCAAATTAGCCAAGGGAAAGAGAAATGGCAGATAAAATATCCGTTGTGGTTTACTGTAGTTAGTCTATGCCTAAAATAATCAACGTAGACGAGGGAAAGGAAAAGTATTAAAATTCACTCCCTACTGCTAGAAGGCAAGATAAATTTCCTTGCAAGCAAATTGAGAATATTTGTTAACATAATTCTGGCACGTGTGTGTTAGTCGTGTGTGCGTATGCTGGTAGTGTGTACCTCCCCTGCACGCGCAGCGCTGAACCAACATCAGTTAGTTAGTTAGTGGAAATGCACAGATTTAACCAGACACAGCAAGAGGGATTTTCAAAGCCACTCATCATTGAACAGTTTTATTATTACCTTGGGAAGGCTTGAAAACCCCACCCAAAATAAAACTTAATGCCTTGCCAATGGAGCACATAACTTTTATAACATTAAAAATGTCATCAGGCTAACCATGTTGTTGCCTCTGCTGGTGTCTTTTTCTTTTTTAATGTCCAACTATTCCTGGATGTTCTCTAAGGAAAATAAGACTCAGAGCTATTGCATTTCAGGCCTATCTGTCTAGCCATATGAAAGGCAGGCTTCAAAATCTCTGAGTATTTAGTTGAAGGAGCGGTTAATTTTTGGAGTATTGTAGGTAAAACAATCCCTAGCTTTACTGGGATGCAGTGTCTTCTTGCGAGGTTTCTCCTTCTGGCTTGGCCACTTACTTGTGATAGTGGGCGTGCAACGAACTAGCACTTACAAGGCAAATACCTCTGGGTCAGCTTAGTTAAGATGCTGTTTCTTTTTGGAAAGGAAGTGTTGGTAATCCTCTGTTTCTGTAGCCTGCACTGTACTTTTGCACTTCTGTACAGGGAGCAAAACCACACACAAAAGTTCTCCACGCACTCTGGAAGATCGTTTTCATCACTTCGTCACTGCCTAAAATTTCATAGAGCTGAAAATTACTGGGTCAATCTTGAAAGGATTTAGTAATTGGAAAGAAAAAAAAAAAAAGAGGGTGGTGTTATTTTGTTACCCTTGCAAAGTGCAGATAAAATCTGGAGTTCAGCATTAGTTATTGATCTTTGGAGTTGGAGGGAGCCTGGCAAGATGATGATGTCCTTCTAACTTCATTATGGAAGGGAGCTCCAGAAAGCATACCAATTTACTGCCGAGCAAGTGGAGCAGCCGGAGCTGGAGGGGCAGCTGCCTTGCCCTTGGGGAGTGGGCTCAGCCCTTCCTGGGCAGTGTACATTTTGTGGCAGGGAAAAATGCAGTGAAGTGGAACATCTCCTGATAAATTGGTTTGGCAACTCCCCTTTCTCCCCTTTCTTTCTGCAACAGTTAAGCGTGAGGGTAGAGATGAGTCA